ATCCATTTGACATACCTGGTCGTTCGGATGAACTTGCATTTCAGCAGTCTTTTGACTTTCGTATTGATCTTCGACAGGATCTCTGATGTAAAACGCCTTGGAGTTTGCTTGAAAGCCTTCTTTCTAGGCTTTATTGGCAGTTGAAGCTCCACTAATCCTCTATCAAGACCAGGCATTTAGTCATAATCCCATGCAAAGCAGTCTTTAAACTCCTTTAACACTTGGATTATTTCGACCCTGAGCGCCAGGTCTATCTTCTCACTGATGTATGTTGGTATTTTCACCAAACCTTCGCCCATGTCTATTTCTTCCAGAGGATCTTGCGCTAGCATTTTAACATTGTCTGCCAACGGATCCTTTTCAAAACCCAAAGGCTCATCATCATAGATAGCATCTAGCCTCTGGCTTCTTTCTTCCTCCCTTCTTAAGTCAGGTGGTTCTGGTTCGAAGTCTTTGCCATGATCTTATGGAAGAAACACTTGCTCATTGGCTTCGAAAGCCATATACTTGACTTCAGCCTCTAATGTCGCTATCATTCTACTTCCGGCTACATATGTCGAAATCTTTTGTAAAGCTTGTGATTAAGTCATCATCACTGAATTAACTTCCCCAGCCTGTTGTCTGTATGTCATCAACTCCTCCATAGTCAATGTTTGATAAATCTTCTCTATACCACTAGAACCCATGGTCAGAGTGTAGGTAGAGGGAGCAAACATCATTTGGTGCTGGTGCTAAATCAAAGTCAGGAGGATTTTATGGCCATATGTGAGCCATATTTCTATCGAAGTTTATTCTATCGACATTATTAACTTCAACCATATATTAGCTTTGATCTGCTTTGATATTTTCCACTATACCATCTGGGCGCCAAATGGTAACACGTTGGTGCATTGATGATGGCACTACTCTTATGCCATGTATCCACTCTCTACCTAAGAGTAGATTATATTTGGGCTTCGCTGAACTGACCATAAACATAGTTGGTCGAAGTATTGTTCCCACCTTGAGGTCTAATTGTATCACCCCTATAATAGTTCCAATACCTCCCTCATAGTTCGATAGAACCATGTTGTTAGGTTTGATATCTTCATCCCCTTTGCCTAGTTTCCTCAACATAACTTGGGGAATTATATTTACTGTGGCCCCACAATCAACCAGAATTTTGTTGATGGTTGCTTCCCCTACTTTGCTATGATGAATAATGGTTTGAGGTGATTCTTCATCACCTCAGTGGGGCGTTCGAAGAAAGCATTCTTCTCTTCGACACATCCGTTGTTCATAATGTAATAACAAACTGACCTATGTTTGGCCATCTCCTGTTCGACCTCCCAGTCAGTCTCTTCGACTTCGACTTAGAGGTTGTATTCCCTGGGTAGTACTAACACTACATTCACCATAATATCCAAAGTAGCATCAGATTCATAATTACCTCTATCATTTGATTCACCTTGTTCTGGCCACACCAATCTTCTAGCAATTGGTTTTCTTTCCAAAGACTTTCTTTGTTTTCCTTTTCCTTTTCTTTGTGGCACATTGGTGCTTGATTTTGGTTGAGGCTCCTTTGTAGTCTCTCTTTCGGATTTTCGTCGTCTTTGATATCTCCTCCATTGGGAGCGCGACATGGGGTTTTTTCCCTTGTAGTTGCTCGACACATGAGCCACTTTGTTTGTTGTTGTAGTTTGGAATTCCTTCCTATAGGCCAAGGATGATCCTCTTGGCACATTGAATGTTCGCCATTTCTCCTCACTGGGCCTTTTCCTGCTTGCTGTTTTCAGCCAAGTGTCCACAGGGACATTTGTTGGAGGCCTGAAAGTTGATGGCCTCTTCACCTGGTCCATTGGTCCCTTCTGATATCCTCTTCAGGGATCATATCTGACCTCAGGATCCATGTTGGGTTGGGAATTGGTGCCCCATTTCTCCTTTGCTGCCCTCACACCTTGTATGTGTTCTGCAACCTTTTTGTCAAAGATGGAGCTGCATCTTGGGCACAACATGACTTCAGACTTCTTTTTCTGGCATCGTTGCCGAAAATCTGCCAGATTCTCATTCTCTTTAGGAAGTGAATTTTTATTGCATTCCGCTTGTCTGATGGCATCTTCTGAAGCCTTCTCCTCAGATACTTCAACCATATTGACTTCTAGGTCCTCTGTCGAACCCTTGTCGACAGACAAATAAGAACCTGCAATAGTCCTTTTGTTTGAGCCTTCAGTAGCTCCTTTGTTTAGGCCTTCAATAGCCTTTTGTTTAGGCCTTCAGTAGCCTTTCTCACCCCTTCGACAGTCTTTCTGGAGATGTTCCCAGTGAAACTGCCAAAAATAGGCTTATTGACGAAGTCTTCTGAAACTTCGACCATGTTGATGCCTGATGGTTCAACATAGTGGGCATCAGCTTGCAATGGGTTTGCATCGATTTTCACCGGAGGTTTGTCAGCAAACTTGAGTCTTCCTTCTTTGATCGCTCCTTGAACGAGATCCCTGAAAAGAAAATATTGTGAAGTTTTATGGCCCAAAAAATTATGATACTTACAAAAACCTCTTTTCTTTCTTTGTTCTAAAGGAGGAATTTTTGCCCCTGGGGCACTATCATTTGGCCATCTTTAACTAACAAGTCAAATATCTCGTCATATTTTGTGACATCGAAACTATATGTTTTCTTTGGGAATCTATCACTGTTCTTTTCAGACTCAGTAGGATTCTTCCCATTTGAGGGAATTAGCAATCTGCAAGAGTACGGTGGCCCTTGCTTTAATTCTGCTAAATCTATTTGGCTTTCTTCGACAGCTATAGGATCACTAGATGTCTCTGGATCGTCATCATCTATTTTGACATAGGCTACCCTTTCTCTTCTATGAGTCTTAGTTGCTTTAGCTTTTTCAGCTTTAAGACGTTCTACTTGTCGAACTCTATCGGCCAATTGGGCCATATCCCTCAGGTATTGGGTATCTAATTTTCTCCTAATAGAATAATCTAGGCCCCCTGCTGCCATTTCGAACAACTCATGCTCAGGAACTTGTGTAAAGCATCTGACTTTGAGCAGTCGAAATCTATTTAGATATTCATCTATTGGCTCAGTGAATCTCCTTTTCACACTAGCCAGTTCTTTCAGACTTATTTTGGTTTGTCCCATGTAAAATTGTTCATGGAACAATCTCTCCAATTGATTCCAATTGTGGATCGAATTGGTTGGGAGGGTGGTAAACCAAGTAAAAGCATTTTTAGTTAGGGAACTTGAGAAGTACTTAATCCTAAGGTTCTCGTTATTTGAGATTTCCCCAGCTTCTATCAAATATCTCGCCACATGTTCGACCGTAGATTTTGTTGTATCCCTGGAAAATTTGGTGAACTTTGGAACTTTCCACCTAGGGGGTAAATTTGTTTGCAAGATATACTCTGACAATAGGGATGTAAAGTTTGGCCTATGAAAGCCAATGTTCATTCCATTCTGTATCATGATTCTTTCGATCATGGCTGTCAGATTATTACATGTTCCATAATTATGGTGTCGAACCTGCTGTATCACTTCATCAGCATTTTGGTTTCTATATACCACAATTACACCTTGATCGGCATCTTTAGGGATCTGTGGGGGAACTCTGAATATTTCGACCCTAGGTTGTTCGATCTCCATTCTATGGTTCATTCCAACTGGCTGTAGATTTTGGTTAATAGTCATATCTTCCTCTAAGACTATACCCTGATTCCCTCTTATTGGCGCTCTTTGGGGTTGTCTAATAGGTTGGAGAACCCCAAAAAATTCAGCCATGCGCGTCATTTGAGTTGTCATTTGCTTATTCGACTGGGTGGTATTTTGTATTAGAGGGTTCAACATTGTACTCAAAGTTTGTGCCAACATTTATACCATATCATGGTTACTTTCGTTCATTCGTTGCCTCAAAATTGCCGTAGAAGCATTTGTGAAGCTTGGTATTGCATGGGATGCCCCTCCTAAGAGTTGGTTTCTACCCAAATTCACCATACCGGTTCCAGATCTCTGTAATGGCGAAGACGCACTAACCAAAGGTTCTGAAAATGTGGACGCATCGTTCATAAGACTAGCCATTTCAGTAGTTGGCATGCCATAAGGCTGGTCTCGACCCATCCAGGTTGTCGAAAATCATGAGGGAACATAGGGTCGAGATCTTGGATTTACCCTTGGTGGGGGTGTTCCTAATGGACCTCTGGGACCTACATACGGAAAGTATTGGTCCCGTTTGTGTTACTGTCAACGTTGGTGCCGAACCAACGGATGATGGGATAGTTTCACTAACGGTTGGTATAACAGTTGTTTCCGCAGTAATTGATGGAGGTATTTCTCCATTATTTGGCTGATTAGCCATTTCACTATTTCTTCTCCTAGTTGTAGACTCGTTGGTGGTTAATTTACCACTTCTTAATAACATACAACACTTTGTAAAAGAAATTATGTAAAGCATTTATGTTAATATAAACAAGTAAACAAAAATTAGCAAGGTCCCACCAGGTGTGCCAATTTGTTTACCGTGAAAATTGATAAACAACCGATGATCTTCCAAAAAGGGTAATTTTTGGTTACTTGCATGATCAATCAGTTTGATCCTAGGACATATGCTAAATATTTGTGTTGTTTTGATAAAAATGCTAATTTTAATAAAGAACACATTCGATTGAGAAAGGTAGAGGTTTGAGATAAGTTTAAGTGTAGAAATCTGGTAAAAAGTGCAAGTAAAATGCAAGGGAAAATAAACTTTGCAAGTAAGATAAAAGGTTGTAAGCAAGAATGGCAAGGAATGTAAAAAGGAATGCAAAAGACTTTGATTATAAAATGTAGTGTTTCAAACGTACATTCTCAGTATTCTTTCTCACGCAGCGGGTACTCGAATAATATTGAGTGACTTGTACAATCAGTTGAACACACGGAAATCTATATAAAATCCCTATATTTATATTAGAACTATGTAACCGTCGAGGAGTTGTCTTGCTCTAAGATGAGGACAAGTGTCCTCTGCATATGCACTTCGACTTATGTCCTTATGCCACGTTGCTTTCTTCAACTTCCAGGTGAACTACTTTTCCCTCCTTTCAGATTCAAAATCACTTGTTGCTGATACGAAGTTTCCTGGTCGAAAGGCTTCATGGTCGAACACCCCTTTTAACTTAGAAAATTTATCTAAGTATTTTTTTCCTCTTCTTAGCATAGCTTCGACACAACTAACATCACGAGCTCTTCTGTCGAACGTCTTTAACTTTAGATTTCTTCAACTTATTCTTGACCAATAGGACCAACATGTGTAGGTGTCGAATTCAGGAGCTAACAATAGGGCACTATGAAAGGATGAAAATCGTACCTTAAAGGCACAACAATATCATTCCAAACATGCACAATACAACCTTCAAGTTCAAGACCTGGAATAAAAAAGAAGCACACTTGGTAATATGTAATATCAACTAAGGAAGCAAAATATATACATGTGTTAAAAGAGAATATATACATGCTATTAGTTGGAACTCACCCATTGCTTGAAGCAATTTAGTGCTTCGGCTAAAACACCAAATTTGAAATACCTACCTCACTGTTAACACATATACTAGTAGAAATATCCACCTTACTTCAAACTAGATCACAAATTCACATATTGCAAACAATTTCCAGCGATAGGTATTTTTCTTCTCGTAATCTTATGTTTTTTCAATTGTTTATCGGTGCTAAAGTTACATCCATCTTATCTTTGATCACAGCTAACAAAAAATGAACCATCTCCCAAGTTTTCTATTTGGCTATGAATAACAACATGGTACTCCAAAATAGAATCAGTATAAGGTGTAGCCACGATTACATCATCCTTGTCTCTTAGCAATGATCCAACATTGGCAGCAATTCTTCTTTCCTGAAATATAAGTCATTCGATGGAAAAGAGGTTGAAACATTAACATTAAAATCAAGTGTTTAATCAATCTAAAGAAAATCTTTAAGTTAATTCATCCTGACAGAAACCAAACAACAAACAAAACCAAGATTAAAGATTGTGTATTAGAAAAGGAGAAACATGAAAAATCTAGGTACATGTCTCCCATTGATTCTCTCAAGCGTTTTATCAAACATCTTTCGTGCATTCTTCAAGTTATCACATTTTATGTAAGCTCTAGCTGCTCTTGAAGGATCTAAAACATAACATCACCAAAACATGTTATAAGTTTTCAAAATTTGCCCAAAAAGTCAATCTATTTAGCATCTAAGAATGAAACAAAAGAAGAATCCATATACCTACCTTCAAAGATTCCGATGAAGACTTCAACTTCGGTACGGTCTCAGGTAATTTCCTCTTTCCGATGGTGAATCAATGAATCGGTGGTGAAGAGTATGTGAGTTCTGGGCCGACGAATGGAGAAGAATGTGTGAGTAGATTCGACGGTGTGAGTGGGTTCGACGGAGAAGTATTAGACAGAGAAGAGTCTTCGCGTGAGTGTTTTCGTTTTACCGATACTTCACCTTTTTTAGAAATACCCATGCTTTAGAGACTATGAATAACAAGTTTAGTTGGCATTACCATCTAAAATATATTTCGAGGTTACATACCCCAATGTTCCTGAAAGTTTCAAATTCTTCTTTTGGGACCAATCAATTATGGCAAGACTGAAATCAGAGACCTGAATCCACCACCAATAGATAAGAAACTCTGCTTAATTAAATAAATTGTGAAAAAAAATTAATTAATTTTTTACCTTGGCATTGAAATTTGCATCTAAAAGTATATCGGAAGATTTGATATCTCTATGAATCAAGAAGGGTGTTGCGACTGGTTTTTAAATCAAGAGTCGTCACTATTAGTTTTTATCTTAGAGAAGGGAATCTAATAGAAAATCTTAATTCACAGACAGAGATTCTAGGTTTCGGACTTCTTTAGACGAAAGGAAGGTGTTATGCACCTTTCATCTACCTTGTTCACAAGGATATTAGGTTTTAGGTTTAAGTTCGGGTAGAAAAGGGTTTTAAATTTTAATTAGGAGGAAGGGTTTAATTTTTTTATAAGGGAACTCGCTAAGATTTTTGATCGTATGCCTACGTATCCTCTTAAGAGGAATAAGAGTCTCAATTCGTAGTTTGTATGGGGTTGGTGTTTTTTAGGGGTCGCAAACGTATTTTGAATCACCTTGCATTTTGGTCAGGAGTAGTGATTGCGGAGTTTTGACTAAATGCGCGGTAAGTCAAAATCTGTTTGAAACCCTTTTGCAAAAACAGTTGATTAGATTATTTGATTGCGAAAAATAGTTTGATGATTTGTTGCGTATTTTTTAATCATATTAATTGCAAAATATCTTATTAATGCATGATAAAAATATTTTAATGCAAATAATATAAGAAAATAGTATATGTACATGAGTTTTAAAAATAATTTATTTATGATAATATAAATAATATCTATATGTAATAAATAATAATGATATATAAAATATATTACTAATAATAATTAATATGATTATAAAAATTAATATTAAGAAGAATTATAATTAATAACAATAATAACTATAAATGATAATAATATAGTATAATAATAATAAAATATAATTAAAATATATATAATATATAATGTAAAAGAAATAATTAAATTAAAATCAAGGGGGTGTAATTCTAGTTATGCAGTAAAAGCTGGAGGTGTCTAAACTCAGAACATGGGAGGGGGGGTTGTTTTGTAGCTTTAGTAATTTAGGAATGGGGGCTTAGAAACGAATTGGGTCTGGCCCATCACACAGTCTTTTGAAGGCCAGCAAGATTGAGTGCGCGAGGGAGTATGTTAGTTATCATGCAGACTTGGCCTCTGGCCATCTGATGAAGATCACGCGGACATAACCTGAAGGACCATAGCATTATAATAGACGCGCGCGTATTGGATGACAACAGAACATAAATTTTGTTTTTTCATTCTCATTATTTCGTTTTTACAGCCTATATTCCTCTCTCTCTCTCTCTCTCTCTCTCTCTCTCTCTCTCTCTCTCTCTCTCTCTCTCTCTCTCTCTCTATTGCCTTACCCTAACTTTCTTCTTCCTAACCCTAACAAAATCGCGACGGCGGCTTAACTATCATCAAACCCAATCTCTTCATCATAACCCCTAATTAAACCCCAAACAAAAATAAGAATTATCAATAAATGAAATCTAATCTCCTTTACCCTTTTCGCGATTCCAGCTTCTGAGTTTTTTTGCCTGATTCGCTTTTGTTCTGATCTTCTTCTCTTTTTACGATTCACAGGTTTCGGTGGTGGCCGACGGTGGTGAGGCGCGGCAGCAAGGAAGATTGATCAGCGGCAGTGTGGCTATGTGATTAGGGTTTCAGATATTGAAACCCTAATCACCCTTCCGTCTGGTCTTCAACCACAGAGGTTTCGACACTTCGTTCTTTTTTTTGCGTTCTTCTTCACAATTCGCGGTTCTGTACTCCGTCTCTCTATTCTCCCTTTTTTCTATTCAAGTTTCTGTATTTATAGGGTCGATTGCTGTTACAAATTGTTTATCTTAGATTTAGGGTTTTTAGATCAATTAGGGATTGTTATTTATTTGATTTTATTGTAATTGATTCTAAGAGATTGAGATTTACTGATTTGTAGAGATTTCGTTCTTCATAAAAATTTGGACTGTAAATTATTTATTGTAATTTTCAGATTTGATTTTAGTGATTTAATTTGGTTTGTAATATAAATTATGGATTTGGTTATAGAAAGATTGGATTGAATTATGATTTTCCATATTTGATATGTTTGTAATTTCTACAATGCTTGTTAGTACCGTAATCTTCGCTAAATCTCTACAGTGGTTGTTCGCACACTTTTGGGCCTTGCGTTATATATTTTTTATTTACTGCCCAACATTTTTCTTTTACAGCAAAGTCAATCTTTTAAATATATGTTTTAATTACAGCAACAAAGTTTTTTTTTTAATTGGGCTTGATCATAACAATACATTTTTTAATTATAGCAAAAAAAGCTTCTTTTTTTCAATTGGGCCAGAATGGCCTTTCCGTAACCCAATATTACTTAAACCAAACTTTTGATAAATAAAATTAACATAATGCTTAATAATAATAGTGAAATATTATAAATAAAAAGCTAACAGTAATATATTCTTTTTATTAAAATAAAAACAATAGTTTTAAAAATTTCTGAAAACAACAAAATAGCAAATGGGCTGTTAGAAACTATTTAATGGGCCAGTAATCTATAATCATACCTCACCCTTTGCTATTTGGGCAACGCAAACGGAAATGGACCAGCTAAAATAGACTAGTATATTGCAATCTCACCTCTCTTTTTTTTACTAACATCAATAACCTCCAAAGGGCCTTAATAAATTTAATAACAATTTAAACTTAATTTGGCTTTGAGAATTAAGGACTTAATAGTTATTTGAGTAATTTTTTATTTTCGAATTGCATGGGCCATTGGTCAACATGCTTCGCGGATGGGCTTACGGATACATGGGTCCTTCCGATTTTTAGAAAGCCCCATTTTTCGTGAATATAAGTACACTCTTCTCGTTGATTTGAATTCTTCTTAAAAGTGGGCCAACATATATTGTTGTACCATCTTTAATTAAATATTTCTTCTATTTGAATGTCGAAAACTAAAATCGAGGTAGGACAAATTTGGGATACGACAGCTGCCCCTATTCAATCATCTTCCAATCAAATAGCATGAGAAAAAGCGAGTCTTACGCATTCTGATTGGGAGTTTATTGAATACTTGGAATACCCCAAAATTTGTCCGACAAACATAAGGTTACACTGATATAGCATACCCTTACGAGTCTCAAGGAAGTAGGCAAAGCTGATGATGTATCACTTACCAGGGTTTAATGACGAGGTAGATAGTTTTGAGCTTTGAGAGTGATCTCGTGTGTCTTGGCTTTGCTTTTGGTTATTCACCCATTTGGAGGATGAATAAAACAAAAATTGGTGATGCATGGCTGCTTGGAGACTGAGGCCATGGGTTAGATGAGGAGAGCACATTGAGGTTTAGAGGCAATGCGCTGAGTTTTGTGAATACGTTGCGGCTTAGAGGCAATGTGCTGAGTTTGCGAATAGATTGCGGCTTAGAGGCAATGTATTGTGTTTGCGAATGCATTATGGCTTAGAGGTAATGTACTGAGTTTGAGAATACATTGCGGCTTAGAGGCAATGTACTGTGTTTGTGAATACATTGCAGCTTAGAGGCAATGTACTGAGTTTGTGAATGCATTGCAGATTAGAGGCAATGTACTGAGGTTGCGAATACATTGTGGCTTAGAGGAAATGTACTGAGATTTGTGAATACATTTCGGCTTAGAGGCAATGTACTGAGTTTTGAGAATACATTGCGGCTTAGAGGCAATGTATTGAGTTTTGAAAATACATTTCGGCTTAGAGGCATTGTACTAAGTTTTGAGAATACATTGCGGCTTAGAGGCAATGTACTGAGATTTGTGAGTACATTGTGGTTTAGAGGAAATGTACTGAGATTTGTGAATACATTGCGGTTTAGAGGTAATGTACTGAGATTTGTGAATACATTGCGGCTTAGAGGCAATGTAATGATTTTTGAGAATACATTGCAGCTTAGAGGCAATGTATTGTGTTTTGAAAATACATTGCGGCTTAGAGGCAATGTACTGAGTTTTGAGAATACATTGCGGCTTAGAGGCAATGTACTGAGATTTATGAATACATTGCGACTTAGAGGCAATGTACTGAGATTTGTGAATACATTGCGGCTTAGAGGCAATGTACTGAGTTTTGAGAATACATTGCAGCTAAGAGGCAATGTATTGAGTTTCGTTCATTTCTGCATGGAGACTTAGGTAATGGATTACGTTGAAGGAACTCATCACTGCATAGAGACTTAGGTGACGGGTTGAATCGCAGGAGAAGTATTTTGTTGATTGACCCTTAGATGATTGCCTCGAGGGTAAGATTGTTTGTTTTTTATGTGATACAGGCCTATGACGTTTGTTACCGGGATGGAACCCTGAGTGTATATGTATTGAATTATATGTATGTATGCAATGTGTTTGATGTTTGATATGGATATGCCAGACGTATGTATGCAATGTGTGTAGAATGCATGTATGCTTTGAAATGCTATGAAGACTATTTTTTTCATTCTCCCCTTTAAGTCATTGGCGTTAAATTACCAATTTTGTGGCGTTGTATGTTGTATAGTCGTAGCATTGTTGAATTTGATTTGAATGTGGACATATGTATATAATTTTTGTTGTTAACGTAGGAGTAGGCATGTGCGTGGACGCAGATGTGGATTTTCTTTCGATATTTTTCTAACCAAAATGCTTTTCAATGTTTTGTCGAATGCTTTTATTTTGTTAGTTTCCCCAAAATGATTTCAAGACAATATTCATAAGTAGTAATTATAGTATTTTGTAAACAAGTCTGAGAAAAGAAAAACACAATTTGAAAGATGTAAAGAAAGCAAATGTTTTATTGATATGCCTCTGAGTAGGCAAGAATACAAGATGTAATTCCTAGAAAGAGGTAATTACAGGAAGATTTTAAAACTGTAAATGGAAATGAAAAATGATAATCACTACTGCTGTTCCTAAATATCCTTTTGATGATCTTATCTCCTTTGCATCTTAGTCATATGATTCTGATCTATCTTTCCCTTCGTGGTTCGTAGTCCTAGTTCTTAGATTGCAGTCTTTTTGTTCTTTATTTCTTTGTATGAAATCCCTAACTTTTTCCTGGATTTCCCTTTCGGGTTTTCAACCCACCGGGATAGTTTTTTTTATTATATGACCCTAATTTTTGCCTGGATCGCCCTTTAGGGTTTTCGATCCACCGGGACGCTCCCTTTTTTCTATTCAAGTTTCTGTATTTATAGGGTCGATTGCTGTTACAAATTGTTTATCTTAGATTTAGGGTTTTTAGATCAATTAGGGATTGTGATTTATTTGATTTTATTGTAATTGATTCTAAGAGATTGAGATTTACTGATTTGTAGAGATTTCGTTCTTCATAAAAATTTGGACTGTAAATTATTTATTGTAATTTTCAGATTTGATTTTAGTGATTTAATTTGGTTTGTAATATAAATTATGGATTTGGTTATAGAAAGATTGGATTGAATTATGATTTTCCATATTTGATATGTTTGTAATTTCTACAATGCTTGTT